TGACTTTGCTTTTCTGTGTCTTTCTCTGCCTACTCTCTCCATCTGTCTCTCTGTCTCTGTTCGCTCTCCTTTTTGTCTGTCTTTCCTCTCTCCCCCCCCTCCTGCCCCGCCCCCTCCCAGCTCAGCCTCTCTCTGTATTTCTTTGCCTCTTTGCTTCTCTGGCTTTCTCTCTCTCTCTCTCAGCTTGTCTGTTTTTTTTCTCTGTGTCTCTCATGGCTCAGTCTCTTTTTTTCAGGACTCATCACTGCAGTGTCTTCAGATAGGAGTCCTGGACATGCTGGGTTTGTGGGACACTGCCACTTTTCCTGCTCTGAACACACAAATCTACCCACCCCCAGCCCCTGCCCCAGAGCTGGGAGGTTCAAAAGAGGGTTGCAATAAGGCGATTTGGAAGGGAGGAACCCTCTCCCCGGAACTGCAGGTTCTGCGATCGTGTCTCTGTGTGTCCATGTGTGTACAGACAGTGTCAGAAAACTCTGTGTCTGGAAGATGGAGAAAGAGGGAGCTGCCAGTGTCTGTGTTCTGCTGGCCCCTGCTGCTGGAGCAGGGAAATGAAGCAGATTTGACACCAGGGCGTTGCGCCTTGGAAAGGAAGGGTGCCTGCGGGCAGTCTCTGGGAAGTCCCCTGAACAGGGGCGTTCCCCCAGCCTGTGCCTGGACGGGGGACCTCAGGTGAGAGGACAGGGGTCCTAAGCAGCATGGGTACAGGGCTTTGTGCTTAGAATGTGTTCCCGTACGTGGTTACAAAGGACAGACTGTTAGAGCTCAAGGGGTGTGGTATCCCTCCTCGAGATGTCTGAAGGGAGGAACTGAGGCCCGTGGGGTGGTGACTGGCCTAGGAGCTCACGTCAGGTCAGACTCAGAGAAGGCTTGGACTGCCAGACTGCCTCTCATCTCATGTCTGTGGTGGTGTAGTTAACATATCAATATTTTCTTGATGCCAAGAACAGAAAATAAAAATTAAGATGGAAGAAGCCTTCTGGGCTGGTGCACGGGGTGGTAGTGAGGGTGAGAGAGAGAATTGAGAGACATGGCATTCTGGGGACATGGGGAAAATGTTAAAGACTACCCATGGTCGATGAATACCACCCAGCAATGAAGAGGAGGGAGCTACTGCTCTGTGTGACCACATGGGTGACTCTCACAGAAAAGGGCCGAGTGAAAGAAGCCACACACAAGAGTACATACCGTATAGTCCCATTCATATGAAGTTTACAAATCTGGCAAAATGAATCTTTGGTGATAGAAGTCACAGTAGTATTTACTTTGGGGAGACTGACTGGGCCGTCCATGAGGGAGCTTTCTGGGGTATGGTTACATGGGGCATACATGTGTAAATTTGTATCGAACAATACATTTAAAATGAGTACACTTTGCTAATAAAATAAATGAAAAGAAAAAAAAGGTTCAGGAAACATGGAGAGGCCTGTGATCCCCAGTATGCTGACCCCATCTAAGTCTGGGAGTCTGGGTCGCACCCATCACTTTCACTTTCCCTGGGCACCTCCTCCCAGAAATGGGCTCAGGCCTTTCACACCTGAAGGGGCTCTCACCTCTCCTCTTCCTCAGTCCTTGCCTATGTCTCTCCCAGGACCCCAACTCCTTCCCTGGGACCCCAGCCTTCTGCCCAGGCCTGATCACTGTACCTCTTGTCCCATAGCCCGAGGACCTGGAGGCCCCCAAGACTCACCACTTTAAGGTGAAGACCTTCAAGAAGGTGAAGCCCTGTGGCATCTGCCGGCAGGTCATTACCCGGGAGGGTTGCACCTGCAAAGGTGAGCAGCTGGTCGGGCCAGGGGGGTGGGGAGCATGTCTTCATGGGAATGAGATGTCCTGGGGCCAGGTCAGGGTAGGACTCGGCTTTGCCAATGTCCTTGGGCTCCTGATCTGGATCTGGTGCCCGGTTCTCATCTGGGAGGGGGTGCTGAGCACAGTGGATGGCAAGCCTGAAGCCTGCTGTGTGTGTGCGCATGCGTGTGCGCATGCGTGTGCGCATGTGTGTGCGCATGCGTGTGTGTGTATGGCACATGGCAGGTGAGGGGTGGCATGGAAATACCATGTAGACTGTGTGCGTGACGCAGATGGCATGAAGGAGGTATACCAATGGCATACAGATGGCCTGTGAATGGCATATAGAAGGTGTATGGATAGTATGTGGTGGCATGCGAAGGGCATGTGAGTGGCATGTAGACAGCCTGTGGATGACACAGAGATCGTGTGGTTGGCATGTGCATGGTGTGTGGAAGATGTGTGGATGGCGTGTGCCTGGCACCGGAAGTAATGCAAAGACGCCAAGCCACAGTCCTCCCCTGATGCTTAGGGGTGAGTTTAAGAGGCCTCAAGTCAGACTTGGGGGCGGGCCTGCTGGCTGCTAGGCTTTTTTGAGCACTGTTCTCACATGCTCCTGGAATGGCCTGGGGCTTGGCTGCTGGAGAAACCAGTGTCTTGTCCCAGATCACACAGTGAGATCAGCAGGAAGTACCTGCAGCTAGTGGGTGACAGTATTACCCACCCAGTTGCCCCATCAGATGCCTCCGTCTCCTTCACCCGTACCTCCCATCAATTGCCAGGGTTCCCCGATACAACTTGAGTCACTGCAGCCAATTCAGGCTGCCAGCACCTGGACGACTGACGGCAGCCCCTCTGCCTCTGGTTTCCTCACCCACCCTCTCCAATCCACACTCCGTGCCTGCGTCCAGCAGGACTCAATGTATTGTAGATCTAGTTATGTCAGTTCCCCAGTAAAGCCTTGGGAGCCCCCAATACCTGCAGACAAAACAGAGAGCCCTTCTCATGGCTGTGAGGCCTGGGGGGACCCACCTCTTGCCAGCTCTCTGGCCTATCCCCCATCTCCCCTCCCCTCCAAGTCCGTACTCAAAGCAGCTGCACCTCGCACTATGTCAGGTATGCTGCAGGGGCCGGCTCCTTGCTGCCCTGGAGCCTTTATCCCACCTGGACTCATCCCTTCTTTCTTCCCTCCATTCCAGAGTCCTAGGGGGGCAGGGAAGGAAACTGGGCAGCAGAGCCTAGCAAACAGTTATTAAAGCACTTAATATTAGAGCGTTTGCATGCATGATTTCATGCAATGCTCACGGCATCAAGGAGGTGCTGGTGTCATCCTGTTCTTCCATCCAGAGGAGGAAACTAAGGCTCAGAGTAGGCAAGTCTCTTGCCAAGGCACACAGTTGGCTGGGTTGGAGTGGGGTTTTCAGGGTGTGTGTTTTCTGGGTGAGGGAAGGCTTCTAGGTGAAGAATTCCAGCTGTATGTTGGAGGGTGGATGGGTGGATGGACGTGTGTGGGAATGTGCGTGTGGAGGGTACTCCAGGCAGGGCCTGCCATAGCAAAGGGCAGGGAGAGGTTTATGGTCCTTAACTGAAGGGCTGAGTTTGGGGGGGCCAACAGGAACTTTTGTAATACTGAAATCAGCCGCATGGTGTCATCGTCTTCCTAACAGGTCTGGCTGGGTTGGGTGGTGATTTAGAGCCGGAGGAGAAGTCCGGAAGGAATTGCTGAGGGTGGGGTTTTGCATTTTGCTTGCATTGCCATGTCCCACCCCACTCCGCTGCCCAGAGAACCTGCTTAAGTTAGCCCCTGACCCTCCCCCCAGTTCCTTCCTTCCTTCTCTCTTGGTGTGACTTCCCCTCACCTCAGTGAACCTCCCCCCCCCCTGCTCTCAAAGGAGGCAGCAAGGGGTGGGGTGGAAGGCAGTTCCAGTACACTCACTGTGTGATCTTGGGCACATCTCTGGCCTTACAGTCTGTGATAATCTGTGGTCCTAAGCTCCCCAGTTGACCAGGCTTGAGGGCCTGGGTTGAGGAGGGGTTTTGACCCCATGTGAATGGAAGGCTCCCAAGGTGAGCAGGAGGGATGACCCTGGTTTCACCTGGTTCTGAGCCTGGCCCTGCTGGTGTGAACCGGAGTGGAGGGCAGGTGGCCAGTGGGCTGCCAGGCTGGTTTGGCAGCTCTGGGTGTTAGTGAGAAGAGGGAAGAAAGCCAAGGCCACACTCCAGAGGCACCACCAGGTGTCAGGACTGGGCCATGGAAGGACCAGGGGCCAGCCCAGCAAGGGAGGAAGGCTCACGGTTTTACAGGCCACATATGCGTCCTCAGCAAGAGGGTTGGGGTCACCAGGCCTGGGGGCAGGGTTGCGGCCACTGGGCTCACTGTGGGAGATGCAGGCGTGGGCCAACTCTCTGTGCTTTGGAACCAGGAAGTCATCGTAGCATGAGATGGATAGCCACCCTTATCCATCCATCCATCCATCCATCCATCCATCCATCCATCCATCCATAGACACCAGGTATGGTTGCACGGGTTGTTCCCTGGCCGAGGGGGCAATCATGGACTAAATTCCAGGCCACGTTTTATTCACCGAGCTCAACCCAAAGGGTTTGCTGTTCTTGCTGGTTCTCCTTCCAGTCTTCAAATCTCATGTTACAGCATAGTAACCCTCTGGACCAGTGGCTAGGGGCGATGGGTAGTGTGGTGCGTGTGGATCGGCAAGCCTCTGAATTCAGTCTCCACGGGGCTTGCAATGCTGAGGGAACTTCTGCTGCAGGCCGGGGGCGATGTGGACACTTTCCTAGATCTAGACTTGGGCACTGGTCCCATCCCGTCTGGCTGCTTTGCTCTATAGCTTAGCTGGGTCTTCCACTCCCTGCCCTCCTGCATTTCACTGTTTAATGTAATGTGGCTGAAGGGGGTGGGGTGGGAGATGGGGGTGGGGAAAGAAGTCACAGAACCGAAGGACTAGCCCTGGTTCTGAGGACTCAAAGAGGAACAAAGCAGACAAGAGCTGAGGGAGAAGGACACGCGGGCATAAGCGTGACCTATACAGGCGAAGAGGTCACCATGAGGCCGCGGCCAGCTCTGCACCTTACTAAGCCTGTTTCCTCCCGTGTACCAAGGGGGTCATAATAAATGCCCTGCGCCTCGCAGGGGGCTATTGTGAGGAACCCCGAGGTTCTCTGTGTGGCTGTAAGTGAGCACTTGTGTTAGGGACTAAGGCTTCCTGTGAGGGAGACAGATGGAGGAGATGAGGGGGGAAGAGGCCTAGGGCCCCTGCTAGTGGCCCAGCCTCTATTTCTGGCCTTGCCACTCCCAGGCTGTGTGACCTCAGACCAATCACTTCACCTCTCTGGCCTCAGTTTCCTCATCTGTAGATAAGGGACTGGACCAAGATGCTCACTGAAGCCTATGGAGTGGGAGGGCCTGGAAAATGTCCTTGTTGGAGCCTGTCAAGGTTAGAGAACTCTTCTAAGGTAGGCTGTCACTTCACCTCCTATATGCACATGAGCATCCATCTGATAGTCATGAACTGGAGCCCCCTCTGGGGTGGATGTTGTGCCTGGTACTGGGGCCACGACCCAGCCCCTGACCTGGGAGGACAGACATGCCACAGAACATGGTGGCAAAGCTGCTACAGAAGTGTGTGTGCACAGCTGTCTCTGACTTAGCAGAGATTTTCCTGTCAGGCTTCAGAGGGAAGGCATATGTAGGCTGGGACCTGAGGGATGTGTAGGAGTTCCTAAGTTCAAACAGCATGTTTTCCACATGTGCCTGGGGCATTGCTCTAGGGAGTCTAGGGCCTTGTTCAAGCGCCCTAGCCTTCTGCTAGGCTGAAACCCAAGGGAAGAGACCAGAATGCCAGCTTCAGAGCCCGAGGGCTGACATCTGGGCCTGGATTGGGGCCCAGAGTTAGACTATTTCCCTTCTCAATGCCTCTGGTCAGCCTGCAAGGTGGGAGCTATCACTTGCAGTTTTCCCAGCGCGGGCTGCACCTAGGGAAGACAATCTAGCCCTTTATGGGACAAACTTACCCAGAAGCCCTCACTGGTTAGATTTGGAGAAACCTCATTTCAGGAGCTCTTTCTTCTGTGTTACTTCACTGGGGATCCCAGCTTCTCCCTTGTGTCTGAGAACCTCCTTGGAGTCCTCAGAAAAGCCTGGTAAGGTAGGAAGACCCTGGGTTCTAGTCTTGTCTTACTATGTGACCTTGGGTGAGACACAACCTCTCTGGGCCTGGCTCTCACATTTCTCTAAATGAGAGGTTCTAAAGGGTGTTCCAAAGGAGTTGTAGGGTTCTCTGGAGGTGCTCTAGGGGCCTGAGAAGGTAGGAAAAAGGGGGAAATCCAAGGGAAGGCTTGAGGGGCTGGGGCCTTGAACCCCCTGCCTACTTCAATCAAAGCAGCTCTGGTTTTAGGAGTTAAATATATGAAGAGGCATGATGGTGTGGTGGTCTCGCTCTTGGCTCAGATGTCCTGGATTCAACTCCGAGCTCTTCCCCATGTAGTGAGAACCTAGGCAGATTGCTTCACTTCTCTGAGCCTTGGTTACCTCACCTTTAAAGAGGAACTTATAGCAAAACTCCTTCTCGGGTTATTGTGGGGATTAAATGAGATAATAGGCATATAGTGCTCTGAACAGAGGCTGGTACATAACAAGCATTCAATAAATATTAACCAATTATCATTGAGATTCTCCCCAAGAGTCCATCTGCATGAGAGTTTGGCTGCAAAAATGAAAGTTTGAAAGCCACCAGATGGGATGATCTAAAGGTTTCTTCTTGCTCCAGCTTTAAGCCACATGGTGCCCACTCCTCTAACCACCCCCTGAGACACCTTGTAATAGTCAGGGTTCTCTAGAGAAACAGAACCAACAAGATGTGTGTGGATGGATGGGTGGATATAGATTATAAGGAATTGGCTCATGCAATTGTGGAGGCTTGGCAAATCCAATATCTGCAGGGGAGGCCATCGGGCTGGAGATCCAGGG